GTGCAGAGTAAATTGATGACAAAAACGAAAACTTTGTTGCCAACCATCCCAAAAAAGTTAATCTTCAAGCGCTGGCAGATATCTTCACTACGAAGATTTTTTGTATGGAGTTTTATTTTGTTGTAATTGTTTTAATGTGAAGATTTTTCTGATTAGTTATGAAAAATATCTTGATTTAGAAGATACATCTGCGCACTCCTGGCAACACTGCTCACGGCCGCTGGCTACATGCATACATACATACATACCCGATGGATAGTAGTTATTGCTGCTGCCTTTTAGCTTAATTTAAATTGCCTGCGATGCGCTTTAACCTTGACAATTTTTTTTGTGCAACCACTTCCACGAGTAGTACTAAAAGCATTTGTGTTTCCATTATGATTATGTATTTCTTTTTGCGTTTGCTTTTGTTGGTCAACTTCTTTGCGCACAACGCACGCATCACAATCTCAAGCTATGCTTTATCGCGCCGCAATTCCAAGAAATTGCAGGTGACTCCTTTCAAATGGTTTTTACTGTTGCTTTTATTGCTTGCTGCTGCGGCTATGTTGTTACTGACTTACTGCGCTCCGTGTTATTGTTATTGTTGTTATTGCCATGTTGCATACCTGTGCAAGCAAAGCGGTTTGGTTATGTGGCATGTTGACGCTTGAAGTTTGGGTACATTCGTGCTCAGGGGCTAAAGGGGCAACTGGGAGGGATGAGCACTCGGTTACGGATGCGTTTCCGCGAATTTGTTCAATCATTAGAAACCAATTCTCAAATTCGTACATCAAATGTTGTGGTCTGAATGAAGTCAGCTGAATTTTGGGTATCGTATTGTTTTTAGTTGAGTTAAGAGGAAAGTGAATTTTTGCTGCAACGCGTGGCATGTACAGGGTTTTACTTTATTTGAAATTTTGCTTGTAGAGGAAGTTTGAAATGGCGATTTTATGAAGATGCCTTATGGCCGCTGAAGGACCCAAATGAATGCATTGCAAATGAAGCATACGGACCAGAAGGGTTAATTCTAAAAATTCGAATACATTTATCCCAAGGGCTCAGACCCTTAAGATTAGCCAAGAACAAAGGGGGAAGTCCCTATGGTGGACAGCGGATCTCAGATTTTTAAGCAGATACTGCTGTATGGCTGTTCCACCTGGTCTTAGCGATCCCAGAAACCGAATCAGATGTCGTCAAATTCACATACAAAATCCCATCGAACTTATAAGGCCTAAAAGATACATACATACTTACTTAAAGGACGGCATATGCGCTCGAGTTGGTTATACTGATGGATCCAAGCTCGATGATGGCAATATTGGGGCTGGCATATTGGAATCTACATAAAATGCACCATTGGACAAATATTCGTCTATATGTCAAGCGAAGATCTTTGAAAGTGATGTTAACAGGGCAATTCTGGCAAATTTTTTTATATTTTTTTTAATCTAATTTGGATTTAGTTTTTATAAACTGCTTTTATGTATTTTTCCTTTTTTTAATTTGTTTTTTTTTTTTTACTTTTTTATTTTATCATAATTTTTAGATTTGCCTGTTTTAAAAAGTTTTTTTTTCTTTAACTCAATGTAATTTTTAGGAAGTTATCTTCTTTTTTTCTTTTTACAATTAAATTTTCTTTAAATTTTCAGATTTTATTGTTTTAATAAGAACATTTTTTCTAATTTCATTTAATTTTTAACCGCTGTGCTTGAGTGGTTAGAGGTGCGCACCCTCACGGTTCGATCTCTGGTCCGAGCAATATCTGAATTTGAAAATTATTTTTTCATAACAGCTGTCTCTCCTCGGCTGGCAATGGCCAACCTCCGAGGGTATTTCAGCCATGAAAAAGCTTGTCATGAAATCCATTTGTCATTCGGAGGTGACGTTAAAATGTAGGTCACGCTATTTGTGAGACAACGTCAAGACGTAGATACACCACAAATTGAAGGGGAAGCTGGGCCAAACACTTAGCATAAGTGTAAGCGCCAAAATATTATTATTAATATTAGTTTTTAGAAACTAATTTTACTTATTTTTAATTTTATGTTTTTTCGCAATCGTCCACATTGAACATTTGGAGTTAACTTTCAAACATTACCAATAAAAATTCGAAACAAATAAATTCAAAATCAAGTTTTTGTGTTTCAATTTGTTTTGTGCGAATGTCTGCTTCATGATATTAACCGCCTTGGCCTCTTTTTCGGCGGGCAGAAATGCATACAATTTTCATATTTTTTGATAATTTTTAATTTTTAATATTTTTCAGAATATAAATTTTTTGAACGTTGGCGTGTCAAATGAAAGCTTTTGGGTCTTTCTGATTGGTCGGAGCAGAAAGCTTTCTGATACAAATCTGCGCTGAACTGGTTTTCAAACGAGTTAAATGATTTAACTGGTTCAATTTTCCAGCAACAATTGCATGCGATTTAACTTGTTTATGTTGTTGTTTTATTCGTTTAACTGGTTTAGGCCCATTTAACATGTTTAGCTCGTCAATTTGAACGTAGTAAAACAATTCGGCTTTTGAAAGACAGAAAAGAGCTTTCAAGAGTGTTGCCAGAATTGACAACTGTTTTACAAACGAATTTCCAAGAAATGTGGTGAGTCGAAAGACAGTTGCCAGAATTGCCCTGTAATGCAATTACAATCAAATAAATTTCGTTGTGGTGCACAACTAAACAGAAGCCAGTGTATGTATATAGAGAAGATTTTTTACACTAAACATACATACATTTAATTTAATTGATTTCGATTTTTTCTTAGTTTTTGTTTCTTATGAGCTCGACTCAAATGCGCCGCGTTGACATAAAATCTCAAATATTATTATTTCAACACTTTGTCACACAAGCCAGCAGTGTGTGAATAAAAATATACATATTTATGCATTTCATTTTTAATTTATTAAATAAATATTTGGTCGCCTTGCGCTTACTTAATTTTGTATAAGCACATTGTTCGTATGTGCATGCTGTGTACATATGTATGTATGTTTGTATTTATGTAAATTATCGTTAAACGATTTCCAAGAACGTCGATTCACCATCACTGACTTCAAGTTGCATTCGATAGAAGCAAAAAACAAAACACTTTAATAATTGTTGGCTTTCTGTTTATATTATTAATTGCCTGCATTTTTGTTAAGCAAAATTCTCTTTAAAACACAAATTTTACCAAAAAATGCTGTTGATGGACATGCGCATGTGCGACCTTGTAGTTCGAATTGCATTAAAAATAAATCGACTAAATAGTGGCAAAACAATAAAAAGGCCGTTTAAATTGACAGTTTGTTTAGCTTTTGGTTTTATTTGCTATCGGAATAGGACTAAGGGTTGAGCTATGCGCAAAGTTCTTCATTTTTGCAGAGCCCTGACTTTCTGATTTTCTTTAAGTAAAGATCAATGGGAATCATATTGAGGACGACTTTCATCTGTCTTCTTGAAGCTGGACACCATGCTACGTCGATACTACACACATATAGTCGAAGATATCACATATAAATTTTGGTCCCGATAGGAGTCGGTTAAGGCATGGCGTACAGGGGTCAAAATTCAGATTACCCTTTGAAGACTCAAAAATTAAATAATAAAAATTAAGACTCAAAAAAATAAATAAATAAAAAAAAACTAATAAAATACAATAATATGTATGTATGTAAAGCAGTTTTTTTTTAGTAAATTTTCTGAACCACTGAATTGGTACAACTGTAGGAAATTATAATAATAGGATAATGGAACTTTGACACCGATTTCGGGTATTAAATTAAAAAGAAATTTTTGTTTACATTTTTGGAGTCTCCATGGAAGAATCTGACCTTTGCTTCCTGGGCGACGCGTCTTAACCGAGTTCGACCGGGACAAAAATTTATAAAATTGGTAACTTCGACTATAGTTTGGGAAGAAAAGTTTACGCTGATGTCGATAAAATTATCGAAAACTACACCGATAAAAATATCGATAATATCGACTTGATGGTATTAAAAATGCCCAAAATTTTGAAATCGATAAAAAAATAGCAATAACAACAGCGATTAAAATATCGATAACGATAAAAACACCGATAACTTTGATGTATTAATCAATCTCTACTATCGGAAAAGATAAAGACAACGATAACAAATGTCATTTAACGGTTTTAACAATCCTTAATATAGAAAAATCGATAACAAAATAGTGCTAACTACAACGGTGGCATTTTCGATAACAGCGTTTTAGTGTTTTTCCCGATTGCAAATTAGCAATGATAAAAATATCGATAAATATAGCAATAACAATATAAATAACATCTAGTTAACGGTAGAGATAATAATAAAAATATTGATAAAGACCACGATGACAGTGTTGATAATATCGATTTGTCGGTATCGATAATGATATCTACATATGGGGTGAGATTTTGTCACCAGTTAGCGATCCGAAAATTTTTACTAACTAGTTACAGAATCTCCCCCATGTATTTATGAATATAAAAATAACGATAAATATCGCGATAACAATATCGATAACAATATATAGAGTTCTTTGCAAGCCACATACATAAGTATATTTTAGTTTTCTTCATTTCTATGGCCTTGTTTTGATTCTCTATTCTTATTATGAAGAAAAATCGCATTGAGTAAGGCAAATGGAGACTCGAATGCTGAAAAAAACTTTCTCTCAGTTGGTGACTCCCCATCGTCACACACCTTAGTGGCTATACTAAAACTCACTAAACTTGCCGATTGCACTGGGCAAGTCTATAAAATCTCCGCCTTCTAACTAAATTCAGTTCTCAATCATTTACACTTCCCCAATAAACTGTATGAAAACTGTACCTTCATCTGCATCTCCAATTCACTTTAGTCTAAACCACTGTGCTCTAAACAAATGCACTTTTCCTACATACATATTTTAATTTCGCCTGCTTAGAAACCACACTACATAAGCAGTCTATGACGTTGCTTATATAAAATGAATTTTCACAGTGAATTTTATGCTTTCAATTTGCATTAATCACTTTTTACGTTTTCATTTTCATTGCAGCTTTTCACCGCGTGCGGACGTGCGTGTATACATATAAAATATCGGCGACAAATAAATCGTAAGCGATTAGCGTGTGTTTGCGAGCAGCGGCAATAGCAGCAGCAGCAGCAGCAGCAGCAACTATTTGAAGCACAAAGGAGGGTAAGAAGAATACCATTCAAAACAAAAGCCAACCTTTGCTATTGCGCAGGCGCAGCACACGTGTCTCGAGTGAAATTGCGTAGTAAAACGTGTGCGATTCTGTAGCGTAGCGTAGTGTAGTGTAGCAGAGCGTAGCGGAGACGTGAACGAGCAGGGCGAGAGCGCATTTTGGTGCAACCAACGCACGCCGGCGCTAGCAAGCCATTTAAATGCGAAGAACGCCCAAAAGCAGAAAATCAACAAAATTGGAAAATTCCCTTTGGCATTATCAGAAATTCTTCAGAGAACTCAAACAGCGACGCATAGAATTTATGCAGCAAAAAATTTATCGAAAATTTCGTTTTGGCATAATTTATTCGGATTGCTTAGTGGCTGCAGAAGCAGAACAACAAAAACAACAACAACAAGAAACCAGATACGCAGTAACGCAAGCGCAAGCGCAGACGCAGACGCAGTTGCAAAATTTGAAGCAAAAACAAGGGCAAGTGCAAGTTGGAGTGGCAGTTGCAGCAGTTAACTGCTCGTATACGCAACGCGCCAATCAATTACGCGGCACGAAGCGCAATCGCGTGAAAAAAGCTACAAATACGACGACGATCCGCAAGTTTGCCGCAAGCAGCACAAAAACAACGAACGCCGCATACCGGAAGCTCCACAGCAGTCAGTCAACGGCGGCAAGCAAGCTAAGGAGGAGAACGTCAGCAACAACGGATACGCAGACGCAGCCGCAGCCGCAGCCGCTAACGAAACGCAGGTACGGAAATAGGCGCACAAAGCTTATGCCGACATTGGCGTACGCCTTGCGAATGCCATTGAAGCCAACGACGAGTGCAGCGCAGCGCATGTTGGTGAATGTTTGAAAGAGGAGAAGAAGAAGAGGAAAGTTAAAAAGAAGAAAGCAAATTTTGGCAAAGAAAAGACACCAGAAGAAATTGAAAGCGAAAATTTTAAATTTTTTGGCAAGGAAGAATTAAATTAAAAAAAAAGGCAGACAAATTGCCAAAAACGCCAGTTGCAATAGCCCACTTGGATGGCTGGCTAACACCAGCATAGCTGCCGTTTTGGATTTTGGAAAAATCGTCGAAATTTTGTGGCGGCCAACGTTTGAGATTTCATTGCTGGTCAACAACAACAACAAACAAACAAACAAACAAACAAAAAAGCAAAATAAGCCTTCAACTACATTGGGCTTTACAAACCATTTGGCTGTTTTTACACACACACACACATATATACGTAAACCTTATTTACTTAGTTTTATTGTTTTGTTCCGGTTACTTGCAACAAGCAACAAACAAATATACATACGTCGTTTAATTTGTTAATTTTTTGGTGATAGTGCTTCAAAAAAAAAAAAAAAAAAAAAAAAAAA